TGAAGTGGTATAAAAACTGAAATGTTTATCAAGGAACCTGACAATCCTGGTAAAGATATTGACAGAATCAACTGATGATAAGTATCAAAACTCGAATACATAGCTTCCTAACACTAACCAACTTGACGGTTATACAACTGAAAATGATTCGTGATGAAAAAGTAATTAAGTTTATGTTCAAAAATGTACATTATCCTACTGGTAAGTGAGAGTACCCTGGATATCCTTATCATGAGTGAAAGATTTGAGTATTGGGTGGCATGAACTAAACCATTCAGAAGAATATGACGAAACCGGACTTTCTGCAGATGTACCAACTAATAATTCATTCAAGTTGTAGTCTTAATTAAATTACTGAAAGAGGATCTTAGACCTCACAGCTAGTGGTTCCTTGTCGATTAATGTTTTCAACGACTGTCAAGTATGAAAAACGAACTCATATGATGTATGAAGAGAATAGAAATAATCCTGAATATTGTTCAATATATGGTGGCTAAATATAAGTAGAAATCACAAACAAGATTGCCAAAAGATAAATCAAAAGTTTAAACAATATGCACATTGTATATCATAGGACTAGTGATAGAGATACCAATGCAAAGGTTGCTGAATACTTGATGTTACTCGATACCGTCATCTATGTCAATTCGTAGAAGGTCCTAACACCACGTGTGACAGTTTTTAAGTCACTGCTCTCTATTATAGGCCACACGGATTTCTAGTTATATAGACTATAAACTCCACAGCATAGATTTTAAAAAATGCACCATATAAAGCAATATGATGAAAATATAGCGATATGAAAGAAAAAAAAGAGATGAATCAGTGAAGGGCATCGTGATGAAGTTCTACTCTGCACAGAATTAGACAAAAAGAAAGTGGTATCAAGATAGAAAAGTGTATGACAGGATCACGAATGCAAGGTGAGCGAGCGGAAATGTGCAATAATGTGAAGATGAGAAATTGTGAACATTCATAGCTGCGTCTCATTTAAAGCCATACCCAGAATCTCCAACCACTGATTTTGGTTACCTATAGGACTCAGACAGACAGCCTACAACCCTTGTATGACACAGATCAACAATGAAGGACTTCAAAGATTAATCCCAGACCATGATCCGATCCGGCTACTCTTTGTAGAGAAGAGAGGCAAGAGGAAAAAGCGACTAAAGAAGCCATATCATAAAACACATTTGAAAAACCTGTATTTCTCTCACGACTCTTTTTGATGAAGTTTCTGATACACTCTTTTTATATGAAAGCACAATGGAGGTCTGGAACTTATTTCTACTCGTGTTGTCACCATTATTTGCACTCGTATTATTGTTATTTTGTTTATATTTTCCTACAATTTTTTTAGTGAACTATGGAGGATAATTATTAATCATTAGGGCTTTTTTTTATGTACTCCACTTCCTTGTTTAGGTCCTTGCACTGACTAGTTAGTTTTCTAGCTCTGTCATTTAGATATTTGACTAAACTTGCCTTAACTGACATTGGATGGGATGATTTGAAGTCTGGATACCTGTTGAAGTGTGTCAGTTTCTTGTAAACGGTTGTATCCAAATCACCATATGTCCTTCGTTTTATCCTGCAATCCACCACAAGTAATTCTCCTTGTTGATTTTCTACCTTGTGAGTGAATTGGATTGCGTCCATTACTGAGTTTATATGTATGAGGAAATTGTTGACATCCTTCGATTTCAACACAGTAGACGTGCCATCCACATATCATCACCATATCTCAGGTGCAGGAATGTAGGTTCGTAAAGCCGTGTCTTCCCAACTATCCATGAATACATCTGCTACGATTGGGGATCCCATTGCTACTGCTGTTTGTTTACATATTTTCTCCTGAGACTTGAAGACTGTGGTCAAGCACGACTGTACGCCTAATATGATTTCATCAACCGATATCTTCTTTGCCTAGGTCATTAAGTCTTTGGTTTAACTCGTAAGAACTAACTAGTTTAGAATTTGAACGGTTTTTAATGGGACAATATCTATATGAAATACTGACACCTCATATGTAGGGGTATTTCGCGAGTTACCTATCGGTCTTAAGGGATAATCTGGTTTATGAACCTTAATAGTACCATAAATTCTGCTATGATTATTAGTTTTAGACATTAAATTACACCGTCTAGACCCACTCACAGATGGCTTCAGTTGGCGTATCAGATCTGTTGTAGATTTCTTAATTTTGTTCACGACAGTGTCTACAGGTTTCTTGATCTCTTCATATTGTCCTGTTTGGATATGTTCAGTGATTTTGTTAAGATTGTTCCATGACTACTTTTGAATTATCTTTATCAGATTTAGCAATTACTATGTTATTGTCATTTCGTAGATTATTTAAAGCTGAATTTTCTAGTTTCATCAAGTTTCACTGTATTCTTTTATCTTTCCAGTGTTAACGCACATTGTGCTCTAACCTGTTCAGCAGTTGCCGCATCTACCAAGTTTAGTGCCACTTTTATGCTAGGTATGAGCAATAATTTATGCTCGAAACGTCACTAAGTAAATAACACTGTCACTGTGCGCTATATATCACATAAACAAATCTAATGTGGAATTACATTGTACCGCGGTGCCCAAGTTTAAAACTTTGCGGATGTATTATCTTTTGGATCAGGCACAAAGAGACATGCGTAGCAACAGATGTTAGCTCGACATGGCCCACTCGTGCTATTCTTCATGACTCAGATGAAAGCGAATTGCACTGCGGAATGCCGGTCTAATCCACATCTATCACAGCAGTCCAGTTGTGTTAGAGGCAGTTTGACCTGAGTCAAATAAGGTGGATAACTATCGTATGCAAATGCATTAACCTTAAATTTCCTATTGCCACGTAAGATGAATGAGCCATGACATACGTTTGCCGTTTATCCATGCAGATGTTAAAATGCTTTGTAGTTTCGCAATCAGTTAAAAAGTTTTCATCAATAAAATAAGCTCAAGTTAAGGCAAACATAGAATGGTAGAATAATCAGTATATTTTTATTTTTATTAGGAATAGTACTTTAATTTGGTGTTCTCACTTCAAAAATGGACGAGAAAAATTATTTTTGCCACAAAAATCAGTCAATGTGAAACAGATATGAAGATGGACATGCGTCTACGTTAAGCAATGTACTGTCATGAGCCACACCAATTGTGTAAAGGTATATGATACTATCCGGATGTCCAGGTAGGATAAGGTGGTGATTTGAAGCCCAAACCGAATGCTCGAAACTCGAGTTTAAGCCAATAACCCATATCACCATGTAATTGGTGTAAATTGTAAGAAAGCCCTAAACCTAGATTTTGTGTTTTTTGACATTCTTCAATGAAGCATACCTTAAAACACAAAGTGATGTCTCTTTAGTAATCAAGATCCATGTAACCCAGAGCTGCAAAGACACGATTACTAGGATATTTGGGTTGCGACTAACCTCTTCTAAGACTGGACAATACACAACAACTAGTCACTAAATAGTAATTCAAGTTGACCGGATTTTATCTGTCGTCTTGTGTCGCCAAGCTGATTCAGTATTGCAGTGGACTTTTGATATATGTTAAGTAGTCGGAGGATATCAAGAGAAAGGCGCAAATGATACAGATTTGGATATTGGAGGGAACAAGTATGAAACCTGGATTTTCTGCTCGTTACCTTGAACCATACATGAATAGATTGAATGATATTAGATATTAGTGGTTGAACATTTTCAACTGAAACGAGATTGCAGTATCATGAAGAGTAAATAGATAATAAAAATGAGGAACTTCACATGATAAATTCAAAACCCATCAGAGATTTTTGGTTGGAAGTAGTCGGAAAAAAGTCTTGCGCTCATCAGTAAATCCAGACAAAGGAACGATTAAGAAACATGATAGTTGGGAAACCAAGGAAAAATTGCATCCACACCAATGACTCCATTGAAAGCTACTAAAACAAGCCAAACACGACTAAGAAATCTGCATGACGCAACAGAACAGACATTTGTGGCCATGTTTTAGACTGCCATTCACATGGAATAATGAAAGGCGAAGTTAGAATCCGGGGTCTGGCTTTGAGTCCGGTGCCGTAATCAATAAGTAACATTTAGGCATTGCGCACTGACTGTATGTTCATCATGTACGTCAACGGAACTTCAGACATAAAAGTCACAGTAGTTACCAAACTAATTTGAGTCTATTGGCTGCAATAACGTAAATTTGTATACTGTTACTTCAGTCAATCAAAATCTGAGGGCGAAACCAATTAACAGAATGAGTCACCATCATCAAGATCAATATCGGACCAGGCATTAATGCATAACGATCCACGTTGCCACACACCAGAACATCAAGTAACAAAAAAAAATTGGAAAATGAGGCAAATAAAAATCAGTCAAAAGTAGAGTATCCAGTAAAAGGTTAAGTCGAGTTAGTGACTGGCTCTTCAAATGAATATTATCAACGCTGATGATTCCCAGAAATGTCGTGAACTGTCACAAAGTGCAATCCATTTTCGCTTTACATTACACTCAATCCCTACGTTCCTGAGAATCCAGTGAATTCACTCGTGAATTATTTAGGACGCTATTCCAGTTATACCGCCAACGTTCGAGAGAGAAATACAAGTAGATTATATGTCTTACAGTAGGATTAAATACAGCCGTGAAAATTTTGTTGAAAGAGAAGTCAAAATTTACTTTTAAGGACCTCTTAAGTAATCTAGGTTTTCTTCATAAGCCAAAGATTAGATCGGTACACTTTCAGATTCTCAGTTGGAAACTAGTTACATATCTGTTTACATGTTATTTATAGGATTCAGTTTGACTGTGATCGAAGGGCAACTGCATGGTTTAATGAGCCAAAGCTTTAGATGTCTAATTCTTGAAACCTTATGCCCACAGTGACTTTTAAAACCATTAGTTTATGCAGCATACATTTTGAACAAATTGTTCGGAAAAATAAGTGGCTACTGTAATTTAAATAACTGTAACTTCAGTAAATTCACCACCCAGAATGCTCACATTTTATATCCATGACAAAAAAGTACTACTTTACAATAACCTCGGCTCTCTACTGATCATTCGAGAACTATGTACACAGAACGATCCTAAACAAATGCAACCTCGTAGTTGTGGAAACCTGGTGTATGAATAACATTATTTAATGTGGACCCTAACGTTCACGAAAGACTACAACTGAAAAGCAATAATCAAATGCGAGTTACAAACCTCTGAATTAATAAACAACAATGTTAATAACGTCGTTCAAATTGAATAAATAATTAAAGCACGAAAGACATGCTCCGTTCAAAGGTTCTGATGAGGGTTTAACAGTGAAAACTTACTTAAGGTAATCCTGTCGACACAATAACATATTTGATCGGACGAAAACAGATGGTCCTAATTCGTCTAATCGTAAGCCGCAACATGAACAATTAAGGCATGAAGTATGCCAAAAACGATCGATGGCGTTCAACAAAGTTTTCTCTACAATGGGACCACCGCATCCTGCACATGATATAGACATTATTAATTCCAAGTAAACGTTCACATGGACAGCTAATCAGCCGTGCAAAATAAGAGTAATTCCGAGACGTACAGGTTATACACGTGCCTAGCTAGCGCAAACGATAGTCAAAATCAAGTTGTTAACGCCTGCCTCATTATAAGCAATGTCAACGTGATATTTACGTTATGGAAAAAACCTCTGTGCCTATCTGGATTTTGATTGGTTGAATTAACTTGTCATACTACGCTCAGTCTGGATGATAACCAATAGAAGTGGAGAATTCGTTTTCTACAACCTTGACCCATAGGCTTTAATGTTCATTCACTTGAGGACAGGTAAGATGGTCTATACACACTACGCAAATGCATGTGAATTCAATGCTTAAGTTCCAAGGCCATTTCACACTCAACGGACAATGAAATCTGCCTGATTCACTACTTTGCATGAGTCATTAGTAGACTAGTTTGTTGGGATGGGTGGATGTTCACCTGCTTTGTTTTTACATTACGCATTGCCGATTAATTGGTGTGTCTGATATTTATGAGACTGATGTCAGAAGAACACCTGCGAGTGCAAGTGGCTTTGACGCCAAATTCAAACGAAGTCTGTTGGCAGGTATGAAAATAATGAGTCAGATTTCTTCCCCTGAGCTGGTTACTCACAAATCTTAATTAGTCTGTAACTATTTGAAGCAATGTATTTTCAAGGGGAGCGAAGTATTTCTTCTCAATAAGTTCTTCAGAGGTAGTATTCACCATGGATTGACATCAGTTGGGGAACCATTGAAGATCTGAGGGCGCTGGAAGTAGGTGCGTAATGCTGAGGAGTCCCATAGTACGACGAAACAGCTATCCAGTGATACCCTATCTTCAGTGGTTCCCCAAATGATATCAATCCATGACGAATGCTACCTCTAAATTAAAAATCCCCATTCATCTCAAAAATAAGTTCTTCGTCAATGGCTTTGCGCGAATATGTAGCATTCTCAAAATATAAAATTACATACCAGTCTAGTGGTGACAATAATATTTGTTATAAATTATCATTCTCGAAGTACCAGTGGGGGATAATTAATGAAGGCAGTTAAAACTGTAGCCCAAAATATAGAATAATAAAATAATAACGAGTTATTGCATAATTGATAGTTTGCGTAACAGTAACACGAAGATAAGAGAAAACTAATTATTATGTCAGCTGTTGACAGGGGAAGCAGAAATGGTCAGAATCGTGATAATAGTAATAATAATACCAGTGGAAATAATAATAATAATAATAATAATAATAATAATAATAATAATAATAATAATAATAGTACCAAACGTTTGTGGGGTAAATGAATGGCAGGGTGATGTTTATTACAGTTAAGCTATACAGATGACCAAGGTAAAGAAAGAGGATGTACTCATTTCTGCTGAACACAGAGGCTAGGCTTGTTCAGGTGGATTTCGATGGCTTCTGTTGTATGCAAAAGAAAAACTCTCAAGACATAGGCGAGATCAGAAGGAATATGATAAATCACTTCAAAGGCATTGTGAATACCAACTCGGTGATCATTACCGTTCAGATGAGAGAGTACTGATATCGGTGTCGATTTTGTTTTCTCTTTGTTTAGCCATAACCTCGCCTGGTTACCTAGTTCACTAGTTACTAGCGGATCCTAAGCCCGGGTAAAGAGGGAAGGTTAGGCGTAGGGCTAGCAACCCTACACCGGAAAACCAATCTAACCACTAAACAAACTTCATACCACAAAGAAAGTATAAAATATAAAGTTAAACTAATTCCTCTCTGGAATCGGAGAGACGAAGTGACGCCAGACGTTGAAAGGCTTCGGAAAGCCAATTGACCGATGTGTCTTCTCTCTATCCCCCGATGAAACAGAAAGTAAACATACGGATATGGAATGTCCGAACAATATTTGAAGCTGGCTGACAAGGCCAGCCAGATTACAAAAGAGATGAGAAGGTATAGCATTGAAGTACTAGGCTGGGAATCTGCAATGAATCTACAGATGGAATACAAATGGAATCTCCAAACTGTCAACTCGAGAGGAGTCGATAATCTACTTCAATATTGTCACCCACATGACAACCACAAGTACACTGAGTTCTCGAGTGTCTATCATGACGTCCCTTTGAAGAGCATGGAAGGCTCTCTCTCATGCAGTGGGAACCAATCTCCTCCTCCACCATCAGCATCATGACAGACAGATTCAACTGGAAAGGAAGGAAAGTCACAATCATTCAATGATACTCCACACTAAGCACCCACAAATAATGCAGATGAAGATAAGTAGGATGAATTTTACAGACAGCTGCGATCAGTAATGAACAAGACCTCACTTGAGAAGGCGACATCGAAATTCTGAAGGGTGGGGTGACATGAATGCCAGAGTGGGAGCGGAGAGAACAAGAATAGAAGTAACCATGTATCGAGAAGCACACGATGAAATGAATGTGAATGGAGAACTGTTTTGCAAACTTCTATGCATTCAAGTATTTGTTGATTGGAGGTGAGGTAGTGTGTACAAACACAAAGATATCCACAAAGCGAGCGACATGGATTTGATTTCACCAGACATCACGACACACTACACACTACACATTACACACTACACTAAATATCAGATGGACTTGATTTGAATGTGAAGAGAGTGGAGACTCAGTCAGCCAGCCTACTGGACACAAGATGAGATGAAGAAGGTGAGCAGATGTAGATTTGCACCACTCACACCACTCACACCACTATCTATTGCAAGTAACTTAACATGGAAATCAAGTTGAAAGCCTTCACAGAAGTTGGTGATGATAGATCGCAGTAGTTGAAGTTGAATAGGCAGAATAGGAAGTGAACTGAGGGATGAAACTACAACGAACATCTTCACGTTAGTCAGTCAGTCAGTCAGTCAGTCAGTCATCAGGACAAAATGGGAGACATTGAGCAACATCGGTGAAGGATCGGGTGTGGATGAACACTGGAACTGTATGCAAGAGATGTGGAAAGAAACCTACGTAACAGTGTTAGGAAGGAAGAAGAAACAATACAAGAGAAGGAATGGATGTTGATGGACACATGGAAGGTGATAGAGGAGTGAGAGGGAGAGGATGGTGGTGAAGCAGAAGATGAACCAGTGGAGGGATAAACAAGGAAGAGAGGAACTGAACACAACCAATAAAACACTACACTGGACAAGGAAATGAAGAAGAGTGCACGGAGAGACAAAATACACTTCTACGACACATCGGCGAGTGAAGCAGAACAGGTTACTATTTGTGAGGGGGGGGAGATCAACTCAGATGAAAGCAATGAAAGATAGTGAAGGTAAGCTAGTTACCAAGGCAGAGAAACAAAGGAAACAATGGAGTGACTATTTCAAATAGCTATTGGATCGACCACTACCACCAGCTGCAACTCCTCCAGTAATAACACCAGCAACCCTGCTGCAGAATTACCAGTGACCACAAGCCCTTCGACAAAAGCAGAAGTGAAGTCCTGAAAGCCATAAGGTTGCCTAAATTCGGGAAAGCGGCAGGATCACGTAGAATTCTTCCGAAAGCACTGAAAACAGATACAGAGACAACAAGGGACACGCTCACACCACTATTGCACAAGGTGTGAATGGAAGGAAGGAAAGTACCTACCTATCGATTGGAAGAAGGGCTACCTTGTTAAACTTCCTAAGAAAGGAGACCGAAGTCTTTGAAAGAACAAGAACTGGTGAGGAATCATGCTCCACTACTGTCCACTCAAGGCAAGCAAAATATTATGCCTCATCATCCTGGAGAGAATAAAAGATGCTCTGGATTCAACTGTATTAGGACCGGAACAGGCTGGCTGGCTGGCAGGCAATGAACCAACGAAGCAAGAACCTATTACTCAACAAGTATGCACTGGAAGGGAGTGGAGATGGATTGGATTGGCTAAACACTGAGAAGGTCGATGTGGGACATCACACGTGAGGCGAGGTACTCGAGTGGATCCCAAATGGTAAATGGTGAGTCGGGCGTCCGAGGTGAGAATGACATTGAGGAGATTGTGTGAGGAAGAAAAGAGAGGTTGTGGGCAGTCGTGGAGCCAGGTTGAAAAGATTGCAGATAAGAGAGTGGAATGGCTATGTGCTACTGAATTTATATATTCCACTAGGAACCCAAGGGACAAATAATAATAATGATAATTATAATGAGAATAATAATAGTAATAATAATAATAATAATAATAATACCAGTAAACAAATTCTGTTGTTTTGAACTGAGTGTGGAGATATAGACTTCCTGGTTAAGGTTAATACGATAACTGAAATCTATAACTGGAGACTGTAGGTGATGTGATACCGAATCCAGCAGTTTGGTGTAGATGTTTACACATATCATCTTCATCCTATCGTTTTTCCTCTGTTTTTTACAAACTCCTACTACTTTTGATTACTTCTTTCGTGATTTCTCTGTTTTTTCATCGTGCCTGATGTGATGGTATAGAGAATGGCAACTTAAACCTTTAAGCTGTAATTTCAACTCTCCTATTGATCATCCGACTGACTGATGCGTTATTTGAATTGAAGTACACATACTGAACTTTTTTCAGAGATTTATAGCGCGATACCTTTCTGTTTTCGTGGTCATAGTATATAATCTCACTGATACTTGTAATACATTATAGAGTGTTGGTTTCCGTATAAGGTTTCTCGATTAAGGTACACTGTTTGATTGAAATCAACGTACCAAATACTTACAGGTCTGAAGCAATAACAGTGAAAAGTGAGAAAATTCGATAATTAACTTTTCTAGAGAAAAAAGTACGAACAAATTTCGTATTTGTATTTCAATATCCTCTCTTCAGCTTCTCACTGGTTGTTATTGGTCAATTGAGGAAACGAATGTAGATGGTTATATTTCATACTTTTTAAGCCGTAATCAGTTAGAGGTGAGTAGAAAATGCTGGAGTGTGAAGTTGGAATAAGGTAGCGAAATGTTGTGCGGCTATAAAGTTAAAACAATAATTTTGGCGTTACATTTAATCTTTCTTTTCTCTCTCTAATGAACTCTGGATGTTAGTTGGTCGGAGGTAATCAGCAAGAAATTGTAGACCTAGGTTCTATGCTTCTTCGAACTCAACAGCTGGATAACACTTGGTACATTCTCGACTATAGAGCCATCAATAATGCGAGAGTCATGGGT